ACACTACTGGAGTCAGATAACAACACTGATGGAGATCTACATCATGTTATGTGCCTCTGTTGTTTTCTGCTTGCCATAGTAGTGAGAGGAGGAAGTCTGTGCTTCATGTCACAATCTTTTTTTTCCCTTCTCTTAGAAAGCTTCCAATATTCTCAAGTATGCATCTGCTAGTACACTGTTACGATTAATAATGCGAGTTTGCCTTTAGCCCTTTAGTATAAACTGCTTACTATAGCTTTATTTCATGATGTTATTTTTCCCTCATGTTTTAGGGCCCAGCTGACAATGTGCCTGCGTGCTATCATTAAACATGACTTTCCTGGCCATTGGACAGCAGTGGTAGACAAGATAGGCTATTATTTGCAGTCTCAGAACAGTGGAAGCTGGCTTGGCAGCCTGCTGTGCCTGTATCAGCTGGTAAAGACATATGAGTAAGTGGATTTTCATCAACAGAATGGAAATCAGAATTTTTTTTGTCTCAGTCAACTCCTTTACCTAAGAACACTGATGATTATGTAGGGAATTCAGATAAATGCTGGGAAATTCTGATTGCCATGAGTTTTTCTTTTCTTCTGAAAATAAATGAGCTATTATAATCTATCATTAGCAAATTGAAAGCTGAAAATACGGCAGTAGTCTAGCGTTTAGTAACTATTCTCTTTGCAGCCTGATTGTTTCTCAAGGCTTTTCTTTGGCTATTATATCTTATTTAGTTGTTCACAAGCAGGTTATCTTAAATTGATGTAGCATCTTTTGATTGGAAGATTCCAAAACATTTTACAAATTGGGTAGTAGAACCATTTACTGTGGTCTGATAGTGCCACATTTGGCTGTGTACCCTTCAAACACATAAAGACATAGTCCCTACTAATCTGACAAGCAACATATGGGTAGGGGAGAGAGTTTATCTCAAAAACTTTCATTTAAAATTTTAAATAAATATATTAGCTCTGTGCTGTTGTGTAACTGAAATGCAGCCCATCCTTGACTGAGAAGCAATAGCCAGGAGGCAAATCGGCACACAACAGTGTTGTGAAGTGAAAGGAAAAACTTCAGTTTAAGGTATGATTGCAGCCTTTATACTAAATGAAATGCCATGGATCTGCCATGGTCAGAGTTAACAGGACATACTGTATTGCAAAGTGCATTATATACATCTTTGAAACTATTCCATGAGTAAATGCCTGAAACACCACTTTTTGAAAAGTGGATAACTTGTAAAATTTCAGGACTTGCCTTCAGTTTGGCTCAGCTCTTGAAGGTATGTGGCAGGGCAGGAGGGAAGCTAGGGAATAGAAAGAGCAAAACTTGAAAGTAATGAGCCACACACTTTACCCTGATATTTACCGTTTCCCACAAGTTTATTGCCTCTTTCAGTGCTTTCAGGCCTTTGCTTTGTCAACTGAGAGAACAGTTTTTTGGCTACCCATATTGCTGAAGTGCCCTCTGGAGAGTAAAGAACCTCATCATACTTTTTCTTTGAAATTGTATAGAGCCATCTACTGGCTCTTGGTAACTCTAATTGCTGTTATTTTTACCCAGTATTATCTGTACGGTGGGTCCAATTTTCAGAGATACCGAGCCCTTTAATACTTGCTGCAGTGAGCTGGAGACATAGACATTCAGGTATCTCAGATAATCAGTCTCTCTCAAAGTTCTCTCTCAAAATTCTTTAAAATGTATACCACAAAAACAAATATAAATTAAAAAGGAACCCAACTGAATGTAGTTAAGCAGAGCCATGTCTCACTGTTAAAGAATATTAGTTTTAATATATTCAGCACCTGTTATATAAGACTTTGCCTTATATAAGCATATGAGAAGTCTTAGTCGCAATTCCAAGGGGCTTACAACTTAGTAGCAAAGAAAATGAAATAAGCCCTGGTGGTAGGGGAATTCACTTTACATAACTTTGTCTTTTTGTATCTGTATCCTCTGACAAAAGGATTTGCACTATTATTTGGGCTGTCAGATGGAAGCCCAAACAGGGAAAAAAATGAAAAAAATGCTATATTAATGAATATTAAATTTTTGTTTTTAGAGGTAGAGTATTTAGATCAGTAGCCTGAAGATAGCATTAAAACAGAGATTGCTCGGACCTTAGACAGGCATGTTTGTCATCTTTTGCAGGTACAAGAAAGCAGAGGAGCGCGATCCTCTTATAGCAGCAATGCAAATATTTTTGCCTCGGATCCAGCAGCAGATGATCCATCTTCTTCCTGATAACTCCCACTACTCCGTACTGCTTCAGAAACAGATCTTAAAAATCTTCTATGCACTTGTTCAGGTAGCCTTCTGTGCAGATGGAGCACTCTGGATTTTGAAATTGGTGGGGGGCACTCATGCCATAGTGTTGAGACTATTTGAGTACCTAGAGGGTGTTGTTTATCTTATTGTCACTGTTTAGTTAGTATACTCATCTTCTAACAGGCTTACTAGTGTAGCACCTGCCTCCAACAATTTTGCTACGTTTCTTTTAAAATTGTTTAATACATTTATTCATTGTTGCATTCTCCATCTACTAAGGTGCTCTGAGTTTGGTAAGAGAGGTGCATTTAGAATATGACAGATAAAACAGGGGCTGTATGTTTTACAGTGCTAAAGCAACCATAGAGGATTAGTATAACTGTATGGTGGTTGTAGGAGAAAAAATGATGACAGTAGATCCAAAGACTCAACTATACTTTCCAAAAGGCAACCTGGTAAATTATTTAAACTGGTGATGCTCCAAATATATCAAATTAATCTGCCAGCAATTTGGGACAACAAAATTGAGTTACACTTAGTTAACAATCCTATGCCAGCATTTTAGAGGGTCCCCTAAAATCCTAGCTCATGACACTGCTCTAAAGATCAGAAGATTTGAGCAGTCCTGTACCAGGAGGAGGAGCAAGTTACGAAGTCAGGGGACCTTCACAGAGAATGTCTTGTCAGTAGTCCCTCTCTCAGGTAGGCAGGTTACTAAACTTGTAGATCAAGAGCAACATCTTAAATTTCACCTGCAGATCAGTCTGCAGCCAGTGCAGATTCCAGAAAACTGTCCATACTTATAATGAGATGAATTTAATTGTCTGTTTTGCTGCTGTATATGAATTAGTTTCAATTTCTAAATAGGTTTATTATGTAGCTCAGTGGTGCTCAACCTTTTGGCCCTGGAGGCCAAATGAGGGGCATGAGGCCAGTCTGTGGTCTGAATCTGACCCCATGCACCAGGATTGGACCCCAGGGCCCCATGCTGCCCCCATGCAATCCCACATGCAGGGATTGGACTCTCAGGGCCCTGCATTTCTACTGTACGCTGGGACCAAGCCCAGTGCCACCCTGTGGACCTGACCCACTGTGCAGGGCCATGGAGAGTCCTGCAAGCTGGATGGCAAGGTGCTGGGGGCCAGACCTGGTGCACAGGCTGTTGTTTTAGCACCCCTGAGGTAGACCCTTATAGAGCACATTGCAGTAGTTGTCTTGAGGTGACAAAGGTCTGGCTAAGAATTGCAAAGTCAACATTGATGAGAAAAAGTTGCAACATTTTGCTTGGTGAAAAATATTGATAAGCTGCCCTGATCATTAACGTGATGTAGTTGTCCAAAAGGAACAGATATATAACACCAAACTTACGTTGCAAACTTCAGTTAAGAAAGCAGGTATTATCCCTGTGATATTCTTTAGCCCGTGTCTCCAGTTTACGATTGTCTCAGTTTTGTCTAGATGGCACTGTCAGTAGCTTCTGTGCTGTCCTTATTTGTGCACCAATCTTAGTTGGACACTTACTGACACAGTTTGCTATGTCTTACAAGTTATACAAAGCTGGGAGAGAGCTGAGTGTCCTCCATGTATTGATAACGCTGCCTGTTAACTTCTAGGCAAACTTATCTATTATATCTCAGAGTAGCAGAGAATGATACAGAATGTCTCTATCTTTTAGTCGGTCTGTTTTGTTGAGTTGATATGTTTTCCTCTAGTCTGAACTTTTCACAATCAGCCTTTAAAATACTAGTTACAATTTAGCCACAGCAGCATCCATGGATTAATTAACCCATACTTAAGGACCACTGTAATTCAGGCTCGGGTGGGAGAAAAAGTGGGCTCATCCCTGTGGCAGGAGCACCCTGTGCCCCACACCTGACTGGTGGGGGCAGGCACCTGCCATGTCTGTGCCAGCCACCTTTAGGGCAGGGGGTACTTAGTACTTACCTGCTTTGCTCCCGACAGGGTTTTTAAACTCCCTGCCAAAGCAGGAAATTGAACAACCTGATTGGCTGAGCCCTGGCAGGGGCTCAGACTGTACTAGGCTACCCCTGTAAACACATGGATCTTCCACAATGTTTCTGGGGCTCTACTGCCTTTCTTCTCTGTGTTTCAGGTGAGGTTGTTTTTTTTTCACTTGTTTCCCCGCTCTCCCTCTCCCCCATGGTTTCGGGCCATTTCTGGCCAAATTGTAGTTTTCCAGCTTTGGGGAAAACAATAAATTTTGGGCTTTTTGCTGAAATCCCCTGAAGGTTGAATTACAGTGGTGCCTACCCATACTGAGCCCTGTGCTGACACAGCCAGACTGCTACTAGGACCTGAAATATCTGAGTTTTAAAAGAGCTATTTCTTCTTATGCAATAATAAATCAAATTCATTTAAAGAGAAGTCACAGTTTCTCAGAAAAGTATAGATATGTCTCATGTGTTCTTTGGAGAAAATTAATTTGTTCTTGCTTCTGTTTTCTTCTCTTCTTTTAGTATGCATTGCCTCTTCAGCTGGTGAATAATCAGACCATGACTCAGTGGATGGAGATCTTCCGTACTACCATCGACAGAAGTGTGCCTGCTGTAAGGTGTACTTTACTGAAGAAAGACTGCCACTGATTTTTGTAGGATAGAGGAATGGACATGGTCCATATAGAGCGATTATTGAATTAATCTATATTTTTTAAATGCCATCTATGCTGAACTCCCATTTTTAGGTCTTGTGCCTGGCATAGATCATACAGGCAACTTGAGTAGCTCTCCGATTTTGACCTTGTGAGGTCAAACATAGTACCTACTACAATCTTAAGTACTTTATAGATTCCCATACTGGCTAACCAGTTTCTTTCAGAAACAAGTAGCAAAAGCTCACCTTGAGCAGGCAGATATGTAATATCCTGTAGTAAAATTTTCAGAACACTTAGATAAATACACAAAATTTGTGTCTGTTCTTCCTTTCTGTGCTCACTCCTCCTCATTTAAAAAAAACAGTACTATATTTACTAGATTCTAAGAGACAGGTTTTTTCCTCATTAACATAGAGAAAAGCCCCTTGTCTTAGAATCGAGTACAAGGCAGGCAGCTGCTGTGGTTCCAGCTCCAGCCTCTACCTGATGTTGGGGACATAGCCACAGCTGCTGCCTGCCTGGGTCTATCCCTCCCCCCGTCATCTCGGAACCCTGCCATCTTCCTGCTGCAGCCTCTTCCCTTCATCTCCCCATTTCTCCCTCCCGCTCAGCCTTTGGTCCCCAACCTGCTCCTCTCCCTTCCCCTCACTTAGCTTTGCTTCATGCTGGCAGGCTGTGTCTGCACTGCAGACTGGAGCACTGATCATGGTCTCAGTCCAGCCCCATAACAATAGCATGCAGTCCACATAGCTGCTACAGGGGCTGGACTGGGGCCGTGCTCGGTGCCTCAGGCTAGAACAGGGATGGATCCTGCTGGCACAGGGAAAGGGTAAGGGCAGGGGAGAAATGGGGAGTAGAGGCTGGGGAAGGGAAGTGGGGTGGGGCAGAGGTGAAGGGGAAAGGTGGAGCCCAATGCGACAGGGGGGCAGGCAGGGGGCAGAGGTGGCAGGAAGGTAGGCACAAGTAGGGGGTAAGCTGCTTGACCTCCTCATACCTCCTACCGCCCCGCTGACTGTCACCCCATAGTAGTAAGGGGGATGAATTAAAAACTACCCTCCAACAGTTATATTTTATACATAGAAAATTATACAAATTTATACATTTTCTATGTATAGAATATAATTATTGGAAGATCGTCTTAAATTCGGGGTCATCTTACATTCGGGTAAATATGGTAATTCCAAAAGAATAAGAAAAGGATTTTAGAATTATGTCTACAGAATGCATGCATGCCCTTCACTTCACAATTTACACTCTCATCTTTGAAAAGAATTGGGTTGGGAAGAAGGAATCTTTCAGAGGTGCAGGACTGCCCAGTAAATAATTTGCCTTTTATAAAGAGAACTTCATAGTTTCATAGATTAAGGGTCGGAAGGGACCTAGTAGATCTTCTAGCCCGACCCTCCGCCAGGGCGGGAGAACAACAAAAACCCCAAAAACAAGAAACGGGACTCAAATGAGTCCAGCCAGGTAGGCATCCAGCCTCTTCTTAAAGACCCCCAGGGTAGGGGCTAGCACCACTTCCCTTGGAAGTTGGTTCCAGCTCCTAGCCCCCCTAACTGTGAAGTAGTTCTTGCGGATGTCCAATCTATACCTCCTCTCCATCAACTTGT